GTGCTGGTGGGGATTCCCGTAAAAATCTTCCTTTTTTCTCCCCCATTTTCGACGGACGAAGGAGGTAAAGTGAAGAAAAGAAGGGAGAAGGGTTAGAGAGAGACTTGAACTCTAACGAATATTTTCGTTATCCGTATAGCTATGATATGAATTTAACATACTCAAATTCCCGTAAAAATCTTCCTTTTTTCTCCCCCATTTTTGACAGACGAAGGTAAAGTGAAAAAAAGAAGGGGGAAGGGTTTAGAAAGACTTGAGCTCTAACGAATATTTTCGTTATCCGTATAGCTATGATATGAATTTAACATATTCAAATTCTCATAGAAATCTTCCTTTNTTTTTCTCCCCCATTTTCGATAGACGTAAAGTGAAGAAAAGAAGGGAGAAGAGTTTAGAGTTAGACTTGAGCTCTAACGAATATTTTCGTTATCCGTATGACATGAATTTAACATACTCAAATTCCCGTAGAAATCTTCCTTTTTTCTCCCCCTTTTTCGACAGACGAAGGTAAAGTGAAGAAAAGAAGAGGGAAGAGTTTAGAAAGAGACTTGAGCTCTAACGAATATTTTCGTTATCCGTATGACATGAATTGAATTTAACATACCCAAATTAATTACCTTTTCCCCTTCTCCATCACATTTCGAAATTTGTAATTAAGTCGGGCCGGCACGCGTACATACGCTCGAGTCGTCGTCTAATTGCTCGTCCCTCCTCTTCCTCTCGCGCTCGAAATAAGTCGATGTGTAACGCAACCGCGGTTGGATAATTGGCCACAACGATTGTACCTCTGCGTGCTAAATTCTCCCTTTACTTGCCGGAGACAGAGAATCGCTCCTCCCCCCTTCGCGTCAATCCTCCCTCCAGATACGCCGTGCAACCACACACTTTAATTATCCTCTACGACGAGGCGCGTGCGCGTCATCCTTCGCGACAAACTACATACAAGGGCCACTTCGATCATTCGCCCAATGCGAGGCGAGAAATTTATTGAAATTGACCGAGTGCGAGGCCCTCTCCATCCAACTCGAACAATTGTTCAGAAAAAGATGGCGTCCTCGAGTCGACCGATTTCACCGGATAACGAGGAAAAACGCGAGGAGAAAAAGGAGAAAAGAATCCTAACCCTACCGTAAACTACCGAGTACACGCGTATAAAGAGCAGAGCTTGGAGATTACTCGTTTCGACGAATATAATTATTGGCCGATTATTTGAACACGCGAAACGCGGTCCAATCCCTTAGGGATCCCATCCTATTACCGTGATACACGATTATACCCTTCTTGTTGCGTCAACCGCATCCTATGATTTACAATCGAGGAGGAAGGAGGAGGAGGAGAGAGGACCCGCTTCGCTTCCTCTCTTTTCTCTCTCTTCGTTTTACGAGCGAACACAGTTTGTGACAACAAACGATGCCCTTTTCTTTTCATCTTTCAACTTTTAATACCGTCTGATTTATCACGGCGTCCTCGTGGGCGGTTGGGTCGAAAGGAAAGAGGCGATCGTGCGGTTTGCTCGATCGGAGGAGGAAAAGGAGGCGCATCGAGGGGAAAGCGAGACGGCGCGTTCGTAAAGGTATTCGAAAACGTGACGCGCCACGGTCTTTTGATTCGAGACGCGCGCCAAGGATATAGGGAGGAGGAGGAGGAGGAGGAGGAGGAGGAACAATTCGCTTCCGCGAACGAATTCCTCTGTCTCCTCTGCGAGGAGATTCGCGCGAGACACGGCGGCGGATTGTTACGAGAGATGATGCTGCCAACCTCTCGCGTGAATCACGCGGTGTGTGTGCGCGCGTGTGTACACGCGAGGCGGGTAGCGGTAGTGTGGCCGGCCGAGAATAAACACGGACAATATTGGTATAATATGTAGATCTAAGCGTGTACGTGGGTCGTCGGTAATGCCCTCGTAAATCAAGCCCCCCATTGTTTTCCCTCATTGAACGACGGTGCCGTGGTTCGTTCGCCGCACGGTAGTCTCCTCGCATTCCATATTTCTGTTCGAGGGGAATCGGCAGCGCGAGCGATTTCACGGGATTGTTCTCCTCGCGCCGCGAGAATCGATCGTCCACGCGTGGATTAATCGTTGATTCACGGTGTTAAATTGATCGACGAGTGAAACGCCGAGAATCGGGACGGAGGTGAGAGAGAGAGAGAGAGAGAGAGAGAGAGAGAGAGAGAGAGAGAGAGATATGGGTCGTGGAGAAAAGAATCGAGTTCATCAACGAGCTTTTCTCTATCTCTCTCTCTCTCTCTTCAAAGATGTTCGAGAGAACCGAGGCCGAGATTTACGACAAGAATTTCACGGAGGACGTGTATATATATATATATATATACACACACGTGTTCTCGCGATCGGGACATCGGTTTCAAGAATCGAAAAGGCAGAGAATGTTGGGAAGGAGGGGGAGGCGCGAAGATTGGGGGCGAGATCGGATTAACGGGGATTGCCCTTTCGAAGCCGGGCGTCCGTGGGGCTCTCTCGGTAATCAGCCCGGTTCCGCGATTAATGTTATAAATATTCCGCTAATGCCCGTTCCGTTACGCAACCGTTTCACCTCCTTATTGCTAGCAGCTGCATATGGAGAACGGCCACTCTCGCTGCTACTCTCGTCCGTCGATGATTTCATACGTTACTCGCTTGCTTCGAACCAACAGCCCCACCTGGCCTCGCCCCCACGAGGGGCTGACAGAGGAGACGATCGAGTATCTTCACTTTTATCTCCATTCTCTCTCTCTCTTTCGATCGCCATTAAACGCGCGTGGCGTGGGAAAATGGATCGGCTCGCGTTTATAAACGCGTATGGTTCATAATTAAGGGAAGGCTGCCTCTCTCTCTCTCTCTCTCTCGAGCGCTCGTTAATTAATAGGAATTTTTCCAAGGTTTTTTTTTATTATAGAAAAGAAGGAGGAGGAGGAGGAGGAGAGCTCGTTTGCATTTAATCGCGGGTTATTTCATCGAGCGAGACGTTTTCCCGTTACTTTGTATTTCGGGGGAGGATATACCGGGGGTATAATAATACGATATATAACGCGATCCCTGAAATTGAATTTTATCGATTTTCAAATAATCGGGAATAAAAGCGTTCTTCCCGATATCCACCGGATCGAGAATGGTTATAATCGATTTGTTGCGGAGCACGAGCGGCGTGTGCTATATTTGGATCGTTAATATCCGTGTCCAAAGGAGTTGATTCAATTTCAAGCCGCCGCAATCTCGCCGCATTACGGAAAATAGGGAGAAATCTAGCGGCGAAAGTAAACGTAACATCGGCAGCGAGGTTACCGTTGCAACTGGCCACGTAATAATGCAATGTGTAATAATAATAATAATAAAAATAATAATAATAACAATAATAATAACAATAATAATAATAATAATAATAATAATAAGAGGATAATATCGGTGCGCCGAAGAAGAATACCGGCAGAACGTATACGCAATGCCGCGCGTATTTTCACCCCGACGCCTTATCCATTCTTATGGAGGGACGATCGAATTTTCTGTTCAACTTTGAAACACGAAAGGACGAATCGGGCGGAGGATCGAACGCCACGGGTCGATAAGATAAGATCGATCAATTTGATTCTTGAATTCGTTACGTAAAGAAAGCTGTTTACCTAATTTCTGACGTTTTTACTTAATTTTATAGGAAGGGTGGGGAGGATTGCGCAACGACGTTATCTCACGTTATTCCTCCTCGTATCGAGATAATAATAGTCGAGGTAGACGGTCCCGAGATGTTGCGCGTCGTAAAAGATAACACTCGATTTTCTTTACCTATCGACGCTCGTACTACAAGCTTTCAGATCTCGAGTTTACGTAAGATTTCTAAGAGATCCGCGGTGTCATAAATGTAAAATGTGTACACCGTCTCGATCGTAGAGTGAACGTAAGAGAAAGCGAGAGGATGGGCCGAGGAAGAAAATTCGAACGACTATTCGAGCGTCGTTTTATCCGATCAAAATGCACGAACCTTGTCTCGCAAATGTTCGATCGAGTTCGACAGAAAAATTTGCGCAATCTTTATACCCGTGTATATATATTTCTCTCGTTTCGGAATTCGCTTCGGAGAAGCGATTTAACGTTGACACCGCCGACCGCCGAGATGCCATCTTAATTATTCCACGAGGGGCCTATCACCGTTCCACGCCGACCTTTTCTTTCTTTCGTTTCCACTCGAAATGACTGGTATAATTGATCCATTAGAGCGCCCCTGCTGTTTCCCGGCCGCCGCTACGCCGCCGTGGCCGCTTAATCGTGTCGCAGAATGCAATTCCGCGAGGTGTTCGCATCGATTCGCGTCGGCGCCGCCGGAAAATTGCCGCCCGACAACAGCAGTCGCGTTTCCATCGGCAGCAAGCCGCGTTCATATTCGAGATCGCGGTCGAATATGAACGCGCTTCGACGACGACGACGACGTTTTTCCAAAGGGAGGGGAGGGGGGAAAGAGATAAAAAGGAAGGAAAATATCGCGTGGTCGTAAAACTAAACGGAATGCGCCGTTGCAATTTTTATACTCGTTACGCTGATCGAGCGATAAAAAATTTCATACCGCGTTGGATATATGGATGGCCTAACGGAAGTTGCTTTATCGGCTCGTTTCATCGAAATACCTTTTGTCTCGATAAAAACTTGGCTTTTCTGCCTCTACCGCGTAAAAAGATGGATGGCCGGACATTCGTCGATTTGATCATATTTTAATGCGATATTGGAATACGCGCACGCACAGTTCGAAGTGGATGCGTGTATGTATATACGCTCACAGTATGTATATGTATATATATATATATGGAATCAAGAATTTTCGTAGGACATCAGGAAATCGAAATCGTAACCTCCTTCCTTCCATTGTTCTCCCCGGCTAATTTTCTGCGAAGAGCAATTTGGTTGTTTCCAAGGGGGCCCATTACGATTGGTATATAATAGCGTCTCATCAACCGGCTGACCGCCTATCACCTTTACCTTCGTTTTGTCTAATTACAGGTCACGTTTATTGTTTCAGGATGAGAGCGAGCTCTCGAGCAAGCGGTGGGCCAGCGCGCCCCGCCGCCCGGACAGCCCCTGCGTCCTGGGGGCACCAACGTCTAGGGAGGTACGTCGGCTTTTCTTACATTCCCCTCTCCCTCTAATTACGATTACTGTTCCCTTTACATCCCCAAAGCTCGAACAATAATATGATACAATCGACAAGTCAATAACAAGATGGATGATGGTATTAAATCCATCGTCGTGTAGTAATTAATCTGTGAATCAGAATTAACAGAAACGTTTACTCGAAACGTAATTTAATTCGAATCAGCTAAGTTTGCGAGTCTCGTTTCTTTTTTTCTTTCTTTTGTCCATCCTCGTCTCGAGGTTAGAAATTTTCTCGAATCTGATGAACGTCGACTCATCGCGCGACTAATTACCTACCCCTCCTCTGTGCTCGTGTTCTCTCTCACGAGCGTATACCTACGCGACCTTCTCTTGGCGTTGCCATTACGCCCGAGTTCGTAGCCACGTTCGCCGTCGCGTGTAGCCTCCTCGACCTTCCCACGGCACGGTGCGTCCGTCCAATTTTTTTCCACTCCGCTCTCCACTTTCCGGTATCTCCATTTGTTTACGCGGCTGGAGGAGGGGGAGGTTGCTGGATCACGATCGACGGTATCGAATCGCGGGAAGCGCGTGTCGATTGGCCGCGAATGGAAACCCGCTCGACTCCGCTCGCTACGTGATGGCACCCGAATCGTGATGCCGGCCTCGTGTGTCGGCCTCCGGCAACAACACCATCTTATGTATATATATATATATATATATGCGTGTGTGTGTGTATGCGTATGTGGGCTACTAATAGGGCTACGTCAAGGTTGTTAGCAAGAACCGCGGTATGTCGGCACGTCACTCCCGGAAGGACGATTAGCGGCGTGCAATCGCGAGTCGAGGTGTCGATTTAGGTACAAGGTGATCGTACAAGGACTTGGAGCGCGCCAACGAACCTCGCTCAGGGATACCTCGACGCTTTCTTGCGCCAATTTCGTTGGAATTGCGAACGAAGTTTCGTTCCGATTTTTCACCCATCCCTTGTCGAAGATTTCGATATCGAACCCCATCTGTCGATAAAATCGCCGTTGCGATTTCTCCTCTTCTACTAATTCCGACGAAGCGACTCCGCGTAACCGACCCGCGGCGTGGAACGTATTAACCTCTCTCCTCCACCGAGAAAGAGAAGCCCTGGGGCGAGGTAAGGGTGGAATTTAACGAGTCCTCGAATCAAAGGGAATTATTTCCGTTGATCTAAAGCGTCGTTACGTCGGGATGGAAAATCGCCTCGGAGGTTAGATTACTGGAGGGTGGAAAGGGTTGGAGGAGAAAGGATCGCGAAGAACGCGTGTAAGAAGAGAGAGAGAGAGAGAATATCGATAGACGAGGCGCGCAATAAGCGCGAAGGAGGATGATGGCCTTATTCGTACGGGTACGTGGCGCCACCCACAGGGTCGGGCTCTGTGATGGGTGTGACTCGTGTTGGTATTCGCGATGCATATTGCTACGTGGCGCGGTAACGCGGAGAATACGAGAACCGCCTTCCCGCGAAAGATAGTAGTGGTGTTTGACCGGGGGCTACGCGTCCGTCTAACCGGTGGCTCGTAAATGCGCGCACGCGGTCGTGATTAGACCGGGAGACAATGGCCCGTAGCACGCGTGCTCGCAGGCGCATTGTGCGTTTTTTAAACGCGTCCACTCCGATGCCGTTTATTTGCATACCGGCATAAGTTGGGAGCCCCGTGGTCGTGGTCGGGAACACTCGGTAACAGTAATCGTTTGAAACGGGCTGTCGCGTACCATCTGCCGCGGCGACAACGTTTCTAAACCCGTGCTTGTTGTACGTACGTAGCGGAGGCCCCGTGAATGTCTCGCGTTAAATCCTTGTTGCCTGAGAAATCGCGATTTGATGGTGAATGCCTGGCCTGTCGTCGAGGTAGCAGTAAAACTGTGGCTTCTTCTTCTTCTTCTTCTTCTTCTTCTTCTTCTTCTTCTTCTTCTTCTTCCTCTTCCTCTTCTTCTTCGTCTTCTCGTGAAAGGCGGCATCGAGGCCAGCCGTGCGTGGAATATGCTCGCGCCCGATACACCTGTGTACACCGAGCGGCCAAGATTCCGGTATCTCGAGTTTAGAGATTTGAGAGGAGGGATAGGAAAGAAAGAAAACTCGTTTCGGTCGATCGATCGATTCGATCCGCTTCTCATTAACGATTCTTTCGTTCCGTTTCGTTATTTGTCCGTAAGGGTAAGGGGTCAATGGTGGTCGTGGCCGGTATATTTACCTTGTCGCAACCACGGTGTTGGGTACAGTTCAATTCCGTTACGTGGACGTAGCCGCGGGCTTCCCACGCCAATTAAACATGACTCATTAACGGGCAGAAGCCGGTAGCCGAGGATCGATGCCTGGGCCGAGGCCAACCCTTGTATGACTCGGCGCGGCCACACGGCCAATCGGAACTAATCTCGACGGAACTATCCGCTCTATCCTCTGCCGGCCGTTCGCCGCGCCTCTTGTAACTCGGCTAAACTCGATCCTCGTCGCATAAACGTTTTCTTCGCGTTTTCGCGATCCTTTCCCTTCCTCGTCCGAGATTTTAATCAACCAACCAACGAACGAACGAACGAACGAACGAACGAACGAACGAACGAACGAACGAACGAACGAACGAAGGAAGTTGGGACGTTTTTAATTTTACTTTCTATCCCGTGGCGAAATTTCGCCCGATAAAGGTGCGAGGTTTCGCGCCGGGGTCAAGTATCCAGGATTTTTCCACGAAAAGCCCGGAGATTCGCAGATAGCACCGCTCACCTTTGCGCTCCGAGGAATTTCTGTCAACGGGAAGAAAATAACGGTACGTAAAACTAGTAACAATACCCGTCCCCCTTGCGGCTGCCGTGCCGTGCACGTATTATGCGAGCATTAACCGTTCAACGATGCCGTGGTCTTCTGCCCAAGTCTACGAGAACATCGCTGTCGAACGGGGCCCTCTAACCACGGACACGAGTCGAAGGGGCGGAAGGGGGTGAATTATTGCCCCAAGATTTCGCGATCGCTTCCGATAGTCGTGGATTCCACATGGCGGGTATTGCCGTGGTCGCCTCGTCGCCTCGTGCCTCTGGTAGCCGTGGAATCTTTCGTCGTTTGATTGCTCGTCGGATTTTCCTTGCCCGATCCCAGCCGGACGATAGGGGATACGCTCGTTAGAGATACGTTGATGCTCGAATATATTGCCGGATTCGAGTGATTTAACGACTGTGCACGGGTATAGGTCCGATAAAACCGACGCGTGGCCATGTTCCCCAGCGAAACAACGTTTGTACCCTCTTCTACGCGCTACTAGACTCTCTACGCCCTGCGTTACGATGTCGTGGGATTTTTGGTCGAGCTTCGAACATTCGGGGGATCCCTCGAGTGTTCTTAATCCGGAGATGGAGATATTAAACGAGTGATGATTCCGAAGGAAAAGTAATTCTGATCGCGCGTAAATTGGAATTTACGGAAATATGGAACGGAAATATGGAAACTGGGACAGGTGCAGAGATAGACGGAGGACGTTCACAGCGTCGATTTATTACGACGGTCCACGATCGCTCGATGATTTCACGATTCTCTTCCAACAACGCTCTCTGCCTACTCTCGTCTCGTCGATTTCCAATTTCTATCAAATAAAAGCGCCCACGCTAAAGGATCCCTCGCACGTATCGAGTTGAATTGTTATTCCTCCGAACTTTATCGCATCCTCGATCGATAATCCGTCACCGCGGCTGAACGGAATAACTCCGTTTCCGTAATTAGAAGCGAAAAACGAGAAGCGTGTATCGATCGAACGTATCTCCACGGATCTCCACGGTATGGAGAACGTCGTGGATCGTTGGGAACGTGGGCTGGGCCGGGCTACCTCCCAGTCAAGTGGACACTCCCGGATCTCGAGGCTTCTCTCCGAAGAAGGTGTCGTCACCGGTCGCTCCTCTCCGTCCGCGTGCTCTTCTCCGAATTACGTAACCTCGAGCGTACGTACGTGCGCGCGTTTGCCTGGCCTACAGCTAGTCGCTCTCGCAACAACCGTACCCACCGCTCTTCAAAATCCACACCTTTCCTTTCCTCTCGTTCTTTTCCCTCCTCTCTTCTCTTCTCTTCACCTCCATAAATCGAAATCGTGGACTCCCCGGCTATCCCAGGGTTGTTCAGGGGGAGGATGGAAAGAAGGAAGAAGATTCTCTCGCGTTGGGGAGGAGAAGATTGGAGTTTGGATGGGGAGGGGAAACGCGTGTACGTACGTGTACCGCACCTTCGTCACGAATAACGTATAAACGAAGGTACGTATAAACGGCGCGTCGTTGCGCTCTCTAAATCGACGGACGTCGGTGCATTTACGTCGCAGGCAAGCCGTGCATCTGCCGGCCATTCAGGCCTTTGTCTCCCGCTAACGTGGGCGTTGCGGAATATCTATTGTCGGCGCGGCCGCCGCCGTCCCTGCGCGCGCCTTCGAAAGCGTTCGCATGATGCTCGCGATGCATCATCCAGCTCCGAACGAGGTCCACGCTCGATAACGGGAAGGGTAATATGTTGGACGGACGTGCGAAACGTGCAACTGCCATTTAAACTGCCGTTTCCAATTCTATAATCGGGCGGATCCCTTCTGTAATCCATTGCCCCTTTTCATCCAATTCTCGCGATTCGAAGAAGAGACTGAGATCAACGTGATTCGTTTCTCGAATATGTTTTTCGAATATACGCCAAGTATATTCCTCGTCGAAACGAGAGAATCTCTCGAGCGAGAAACTTGTTGATTCCGGGAGGAAGGTGCGTCACGAGATATATTTTGGAATTCGATGGAGGTCTAATATACGTTTTTTTTTTTTTTTTTTTAGAGGTCTCCACGTTTTCGCCAATGGCATTTTAATCGATGTCGAAGTCGAACAGCTGGGGATCCCGGGAGAAGGGAGGGGGGAAGGGGCCCTCTCTCCCCTCGATGTGCCGCCACTTCCCCCTGGTGCTCTTCTCTCGACTCGTCGCTGCGAGTTTTACGAATTTACATGTCGACCATCGTTTGCAGCAACGAGCGTCGTCGCCCG